GTGTCACAGAGTGTACTGAGAAGTATTTGAAAGCATCACTGAACAACCTGGCAGAATTTGATCCAAAATGACTTGTCCTCAAAGCTGGTGGAGGGCAACCCCCTCTCCCACCACTCTCAGTTTGTCCTTTAAAACGGAAAGAAAGAAGCTCTGGGGGAAGAGAGGGTTCGAACAGATTTATTTTCTTCTTCTGCACCATCCAAGAATCCCTGAAGCCAAAACACTATTACTTTTAGAGTCCAGAAAGACAACTCTTGGAAACCAGGCAGACTTCCAAAGTCCAAAAGAGGACAACACTGAGGAACCACAGGGTGGGCAGGGAAGGGGGACCAAATGTATAAACCCCTGAACTCTGATTCCTTTAGGCAGTTAAAGTATTCCCATTACAAATTAGAGCCCTTTTGAATATTGGAAAAGGGGTTTAGGTTAAAAAAAAAAAAAAAAAAAAGAGTATTACTTAGTCCTTTGTGAGGGGGATAAGTATTATTATTCTCATTATTATCCTTGCTCTACTGATGATGAAACTAAACCATGGGGCTGTAAGAATTCACCCAAGGCCATGCACTGGATTACAGTTTAGGAACGTCTCCTAGGCTTCAGCAGTACTCTCAGATTGCTAGGTCTCATCTCTTTTTATTAAATCGTAAGGATGGACTAGTGAGGGAACAGTTTGGGAAGCATCCTGGGCCAAATCCTTAGCTCTGCTGCCAGTACACCTGGTGAAGCTGAAGGGGCGTGTATGGGAGTAGAAGTTGGCTATGGGGCATTCCTCCGCTCCCTGTGAAGTAGGGCCAGCCAAGCCCTGAAACAGGCCTGATGCAATCTATAGCAGGTCTACACCGCTAAGTTATTGGTGGTTAAATTGTTCCTATAAGAACAAGGATTGGGACTTCTCTTGCCCTACTCCTTTTGCCTAGTACAGAAGGGAAGAATCAACTTTTGTTTTCTTTTAGGACAACTTTATGACATAGCAAGGATGAGACTCTGCATGCATCAGAAATAGATTTAAGTTCTTTAAAAACCCCTCCAAAATAATCCTCCTTTCCTCTGCCACTTCTTCTCCCTCTGTCTGCGCCACACAGCAAGTTGCTGAGTGGTTCATCCTAGAGAGAAACAGGGCTAAAGGCAGTCATCCCACCTATGAATGTGTACACAATCCACAGTGAAGCTGCCAGAAAGTGAATTCAAATGCCAAGCAGCAAAAGCTGGCTCTTGATCTGTATGTATGTATGTATGTATGCAAACTAAGCAAAGTGAGTGCAATTCTTATGAAACTGCAGGACTTAAAAACTTGTAGGTGCTGTAGAGGCTGAAAGAACTAAAGAAATACATGAGTGGCCATGAGAGTGCAGCATCTGTGTCTGGAAAATTCACTTCAGATGACTGGACAGATACTCACTTGGATACTTTTTGAGAATCCTAGCTTAGAATCTTCCTGCCCAGCCCTTGAAATTTCCCTTCCTTTATTCTATATTTTAGAAAAAAACACTTTTTTATTTCATAGGTCAAAAATTAGCGAACTACAGTACTAGACAGTATATTCAATAGCATGTACTTTGTGATTAATGTTTGAATGTAGATAAAGGCTATATTTTTGGAACAAGTCACCTGTCAACAGTGAACAACAGACCATAAACAGATGAAAGGAATATAATGAGTACCTACCTCCTATAGCAAAATCTGCAAAAAGGGAAAAAACAAGTCATAGGGCACATGGCTATTATGTGAGTAAATGTGGTACCTGGGAATTCAGACTCAGTATTTCCTTTCCTGGGGAGCTATATGAGTTAGACCTCGGAATGACTTTCTCTGCCCCATAAAATTAAAACTCCTGGATATTGAAGGGTTTAATTAAATGAGTAGTACACTATAATTTGGAACTGTGCAAACATTTCACTGCACTGGTAGCTAGTCTGGCTTTAGGCAATGATTTCCGGTGGAGGTTTTATATGTTGTAGTCTATTAAATGGAACAAGGAACAAACCACTTACCTTCAGGTCTTGTAAATTCTCTGAATGTGGGCAGAGAAATGACAGTGTGGGAAATTGTGTGGACTGGATCCAACACACAGTTGACATCATTAGGTCGACAAGACTTAATGCAGCGGATAGTATCTGTCTTTTCAAGTCTGACGCTAGGAGAAATGAGAGAGAGATATGCATATATATTCTGAAAATTAATTTACTTCTTTGTATTTTGCCATGTGGGGAGCTAGAAACTATAATTGATAGATATAATTCACCTCAAAAGCTGAGACATATGCAGATCATCAGAACTGCTGGATCACTGAAAAACTTGGCTTGGCTAAGAGTTGAGGTCAAAACTCCCTCAAACCCAGTCCTTCAAGCTGGACATGAGAAAACAGGGAGAACTGTAGAGCATAAGATGACATGCAAAATCTCTTCCCAAGTACAAACAGGACCAAACAACTAGGCCCAGATGTTCAGCTGCACTGTACTGGCATGGTCTCACTGATTTCAGTGGAGCTGCACTTATTTGCACAAGCCTTTTTGCACTCCATGTGATATCAGCCATATAAAGAAGAAACACTTCCCACTCTGGCAATCTGGCAGGATACATCTGAAAGGCCAACTTTCTTCCACAATTTTCAGTGCAAAAAGAGCTAGAAAAGCTTCTCTGAAGTATTTTTTTTTTTTTTCCACATGCTCTCTTTCCATCTAAACTGAGGAAACAGAGAGGAATGGAAACTGGGAGAGGGAAAAAGTTAACCACGTTATTTAAAACCTCAAAGATTGAATTCTGAGTTTGGGGAAATGGTAAGGGTCATTTCATATTCCATCTCAACCAGCTGCTCATTCGTCCTTGAAAGTCTATTAAAAGTTAAATGATGACTTCTCACCCTTGTCCACTAGAGTGAATTTAAAGTCACTTACAGTTCAAGAACTTCACACAATACCCAGTCTGTGCTCATGAGACATGAAAGGGCTATGCTGGGACTTACAATGTGACTAAGCCCCACAAATGATCTCAACTTTGACCTACCCATTTCTTCATATTTCTAAGTGGAAAAAAGAAAAGACTGCAGTGTCAGAGGGGGGGAATTAAAAGATTAAAAGGAAGAAAAATTCACTGAGTAAAAGGGAAACAAAAATGGAAGCTTTAGTTTGTCAGATACATCTAGAAACAAATGGGTCTTGCTTTTGTCAAGATGTGTTACCCAAGTCCACACCTACAAGCCATCTTTTTTCAGATGTTCAAAGGGACTTTATGGCTATATTAATAATAAATAGATCAGTAACTTCTTATTACATGCTACCCACATTTGCTCATCAAAGAAAACAAAGTCAAACAAGCTGATATATTATGAAGCTAAAATAAGAGAAAACATGAATCAACATTAAGGAAATCATGCTTCAGCAGATGTGAACTTGTGTAGTCCACTGGAAGGCAATGAAGCTGCCTTAATTTACACCAAATGAGTCCAGCTTGTTCTCACTCTGCAGCTCATGTTTTGAGACTGGCCAGGAGATAGAGGCCAGGAGAGACCTTTTACTTCCCACTGTTACCTGGGTACAAAATTTTGTTATTTCCTAGACATCTCACAGAGAACAGAATAGGGCTTTCTGCTGAAATGCTTCATGCTGATCCTTTCAGTACAAATTAATTATGGATATATGGACTTAATAGTCTGACCTACAGTAAAAGATTCCATTCCCTTATTTTAAACCTCAGCTGCCAAGTTAAGAAAGGACTTTCAGCTAGCTGACCCTCATGTTTGTGAAATAAGGATCAGCTAAATTACATGGTCTAGTTCCATCATAATACAGTCTCTTTCAAAATACATAACAAATAGAATTGAGGCAAAATGTGCATCACTCATGTTTGTTTCCCTCTCTCCCCTTTTTTTCCCCCCTGGTTGCATATCAAGGACTTTAGTAGACATTTACATCTATACAGCCATACAAACAAACATTGCATCTTTCCTCAGGATCCTGCTGAGCTGGGGTCACAAGAGCCAAGTCAGCCTGGTTTTACTTCCAGTAACATGTTTACAAATTCTGGAAAAGTTCCGTAAAATTTTTTCTCCTTGCATTACATAACACAATTAATAACTAGAGCATCATCTAAAGATTTTAGGGACACCAATAAACAGTAGCTTGCATAAGTCATGTTGGAACATTGTTACTAATTAAGTACTATTGGTACAATACATACAGCATACTAAATTTTCGTAGTTGTATTGAGATAATGAATTTATATGCAGAAACACTGGTGGGAGTGCCTGAGGCACTCAGTGTTGGCTTGCCTTTGCTCCTTCCTGGGAAGAAAAGGAAGCTTTACTCTTGCCTTCAGCTGGAAGAAAATTGGGCAAATACAAACATTTCTGAAATTCTCATCCAACAGAGCCAGGAATTTAAGATGAAGTCCTAAGACTTACATTCATAATTCTCACTCCTGATTCACTGAAGTAAAGCAGAATTAGGTACCCTGCATACTGAAATGGAGGTAAAGCAGAATTAGGTACCCTGCATACTGAAATGGAGGATCACAATGATCACAAGTGATTTGTGTTAGTTCCTGACTAAAACTAGTTTCTAGATCCATCCAGCTTGTAACCATACATGTTACAGACAAATGCTTGTCAGCTCTATTGTTTTTCTTTGCACCATTTCTCTCTCCTCTTACAGATCCCACAACCTTTTTCTTTTTTGCATGATCTGTCCATACTACTAAATTTGAGTTTGTGCTTTCATTTTCTTCTGCCTAAATATTCATTCTCTGATCACCTTTCTTTTGATATCCCTGCTAATTGCTTCAGCATATCCAAAGTACAGTTGGGTAACACTTTGTTCTCTCACTGCTTCGATGTCCCATTTTTAGACATCTTCTGGAGCAATTTCTTTGACTAGAATCTATTTCAAATCCTGTTATTTGCTATTAATAATGTGCTCTGATCTCAAAATACTTTCTAATTTTACCCTTACACATCATCTTTACATTTGATCTTCTGATTAGCTGACATTTTTCTTTCTGCTTATGTCCTTCTATAGTAGGGACTGCGAGTGACAGAAGTTTCTTCCTAAGTGTTGAGAAATGTCTTTATTTAAATCTTTGCTTCAAGTTTTCCCCCTCCAACAAAAATTGCAGCTCTGGAGCTGGTGCCTTTTCCAGGCCTTTTTCATTTAAAAGAGAAAAAAGTTAAGAAACAGCACAGTTGCTCTGATTATTTTGCAAATAATCCTCTCGTGAACATAGTTTTTCCTTTTTTCTTGGGTCCTGGTGTAATTCTTTTCATATTCTCTCTTGGATTCAATTAGTAAGTTCTTTGGACCAGGAGGTGTGATTTCATTTTCATTTGGAAAGAACCACGCACAAAAATGACACTACGTAATTACATACATGTTCTTGAAAGTTCTAGACACACTGCAGCATTAAAGCACCTAATACAGGAGAATCTGAGCTGCATCCTCTTGAATTACTTGCTAAATACAATTAATATGGTAACATTTTACAATACTGAGGGCCAAATTCTCACACTCGCTTCTTTTCCTGCCAAATATATATTAATGCTTGCAAAAATTGATTTTATTTTTGAATCTTTATCCTACTTAATTAGAGCCTCATAATGAACTGGTAGCCAGAAGGCATTTATATACAAGCATCTTCTGTGGCAGTAAGAAACCCCATTAGTTCAAGTAGCATGGGCTTGTGCTTTCAATATTTAAAACTAGGACTCTATCCCCACTGGCAACTTCTGGCAGCTTTATAAGTATGTGTCAACAGACTTATTAAACATTGGCATTCCCCATGAGACTTGAACTCCTGTCAGCCAGCTGGGATAAACTTTGCCTTAGGGAACATGTAATACTCTGGCAGAGTGCTGTGATCATGCCCCAATCTAGTCCTTGGCTGATGATGAGCCCAAAAGCCTGCAGCTTGCAGCTAATAGAGTAATTCCTTGTGTTCAGGTGATTAAGGCTTGTGATCTTGGCTTAGAATGTTTGCAGTTTCTAACCTTGTACCTTGCCCGTGTCTTCTGTATTTATTTGGTGAAGCACTTTTTTTTTTCAAATGTGGATTGTTCTTCATCTATGGACTGGCTATTCTGCCTATGTACCAGGCAACAAGGATATCTGAGCCCAGGACTGTGTAAAGAATACTGATTTTTAGATAATACCTCTGGGACTGAGCTTTTAATATTTGCTAATACAAGGACTGAAAAGTAAAATAAAACCTTTTCCAGCTCACAAAACAAAAGAATTCTGAAGAAATTCCAGTTGTATTCTTGATTGCATAGAGGTGAATGAAGAAAGTTGTAGAAATAAAGGAAGAAAGACTTGGATATTGGAATTCTGGTAGATCTTTCAGGGCTACTAGGGCTTGGTTGGGATTTTTTGGGTAGTGATGGTGGGTAAAGTCTTTAATATTAAATATTTATCAGCTTTGACACAGAAGTCCAGCTAAATATCTTTTTCAAATGTTCCTGTAGACACGTCTCAGGATATTGCCTGTGAAATAAAAAGGAGCTCTCTGCTAGTAGCTTAGTGCTGTTAGGAATTTCACTGCTGTTTTCCCATCACTAGTTTTTCAATTCAGTGGAAATTCCACAGAAAAGAAGATGAAAAATCTCAAAAATAAATGTTCTTTAGAAGAGATTCTCTTTTGTACCATCTTTAAAAGTTAGAACTGGGATCTGTAGCTGGTGGGAATCAGCACAAACTCACTGGCTCCAACAGAGCAATGATAACTGGTGCAGCTTGAGAATCATTTTCAAAGCCACTTGTGTACTGGGGCACTTCTGAGGTCCTGAGGGCCTAAGTTACGTCCTTGTAATAGATTTTCAGCAGATGCACCAAAAATTTGCCCTGGAAGTGATGGAACTCTCTAAAGATGTCTCAGTTGAGACAGCTCAAATTACATACCTATTTTGTTTCAAAAATTTAGACCTAAACATATGCGGCTGTGTATCATCACATGAGCCTAACTCCACTGCTGTAAATGAATGGTTTTCAGTCCTCAGTATACTCAGGCAATAAGCTCTTGGACACCTGTTTCTGCTTTTTATAATGATGCAGAGTACATGTAAGAATCTCCCCAAACTGAGACGTTCAGTTATGAGAGAAAGTGGAGAACCGTAATGATGATGGCAAATAAAATGCAAGTGCA